CATATGAGGTATGTAAAATATTTTCTTGGTAGTTGAAGTTGTTTCTTATTGTAATTCATGTATATGAGAAGGGATTTTTGTTTCCATAGGTGTTACTTGATTCCTTAAAGCGTAAAGAATATGATGACGAATTGAGAAGGGAAGAGCTGCTGAATTATTTCCGTAAATTCCAGAACACTTCCAGCGAGGTTTGCTCTCTTACCCTATTTCACTTTTCTAATGTAGAACTTCCAATGGATTCCATTTTCTGCACTTCTTTTGGTAATTGCATTTTGTTGTATTAAGGAGCACCCGAGAACTCCTAAGTTGTGTATGGCTAAATTTCTTGCTGTTCCAACGTAACAAGCAGAATAAATGAGATACTTCAGTTTATAGTTTGCTTATGCCTTTTTTTTTCTTGTTTTTTCACCAGAATAAAGGGCATGGTTTGTTTAAGTCCAGCTTTGCTCGCCCAGAAGGTGATGGAGAGGATCCATTGGGAGAGTCCAGACATATCGCATGCAGAAAATGTGGCTTCTTTCATTTGTGGGTATATACTACAAAATTAAAATCTAAAGCAAGATGGTGTCAGGTATTTCATCCTCCTTTCGATCTCAACTAATTAAGTTATAAAAAAAAACAGTGTATTTTACATAGACGCTTCTTTGGTTTAAACTAAATGGAACTAGATCTTACATGATTCTGATAGTTGGGTTTTCTGGTATTATATTGAAAGGAATGCAAAGATTTTCATCAGGCTAAAGATGGGGATGGATGGGTTGAGCAGTCATCACAGCCCCTTTTCTTCGGAATTCTACAGCAGGTATATATATATATATATATGTGTGTGTGTGTGTGTGTGTGTGTGTGTGTGTGTGTGTGTGTGTGTGTGTGTGTGTGTGTGTGTGTGTGTGTGTGTGTGTGTGTGTGTGTGTGTGTGTGTGTGTGTGTGTGTGTGTATCTTTAAAAAACGTGACACTTTCGAATTCTTAATACCCTAAAATATTGCTACCAATCATTATTAATCAATATTTATTAGGTACAAGCTCCCTCTGCGTATGTGTGTGCTAGTGGCAAAGTATACAATGCAACCGAATGGTACATTTGTCAGGTGAGATTTTCTTTGTTCAACGATTATCAAGAACGAATATTTTTTTGCTTATTCTGATTGAATACGATTTCTTTCGTATATAGGGAATGAGGTGTCCTGTCAATACACACAAGCCTACTTTTCAAGTGAACACTAATGTTGTCTCTAAAAACGGGAATGCAAAGGGTTCGTCTAGTTCAGGACAAAGACAAAATATGGAGGAGACAATGACAGAGGAGGAATTCTTCGAGTGGCTGCAAAACGCAGTTCAAAGTGGGATGTTTGAGAATTTTGCAGGCACTTCGTCTGAGAGTTTTAACCCCAATAGTGGTGGAGGAACTGGAAACAGCAGTGCAAATAGCAAAAGAAAGAAGAAGGGAAAGAAGCAATGGTGATTAATAATTAATAATACTATCCATGTGTTCTTTTTTTTTTTTCTATCTTATCCCCTTTTTAGCCTACAAATCGAAAAAGTACTCGTTAACTGCTACTAATTGTGTGCTGACATGAGTTTTAAATACATGACTGCTGTGTTGATTATAAGAGATTGTATAGCATTCCGTCCCGCAATTCTTTTTTCGGACGGTTTTGCCCCCACGAAGATCTACCGAAATATGGCCATCGAGTGGACTCGTGGCATATTTTTGTTCCTGAGTTTTACGAGCAGTAATTTTACGTGGTTGAAAGATAATCTTTTGCACCACAATAAATACAATGTGATACTATTTCATTTTATTTACATTCTTGCAGATTCTGTTGTGGGAAATGATCCAAATAGTAAACCAAAATATAATTAAACAATTTTACAAGTTATTGAAAATCATTAGTCTGTAACAAAATTATATATACATTTACCATATCATCACTACTGAAATAATGCCAAGGACAAATGTATAATTTGTCATCTATACGAAGTGTGCATTGCAAAAACCTAGCCTTCCTCAGTGTAATTCATTATCTGCAACATTACCGAAAAACCAAGAGTTAACCCATGATCAAGAAACCATCA